GCCAGCTACAACACTGACAGAGTTGCAGAGCTCTTTGGCTGAAATGGGAGAAACTGTACAGACATCGACAATCTCTTCAGCACTTCACAGATTCGGCCTCTTTGGGAGAGTGGCTAGAAGGAAGCCACTTCTGAGAAAGGCCAACATTAAGTCACGCCAGGAGTTTGCTAGAAGCCATGTGACAAAACCTGAAACCTTTTAGAAGAAACTTTTGTGGTCTGATGAGTCTAAAGTTAAGCTCTTTGGCCTGAAGGCAAAGCGCTATGTTTGGCGCAAACCAAATACAGCCCAACACCCAGCTAACCCCATCCCTACCGTCAAGCATGGTGGTGGCAGCATTGTGCTCTGGGCTTGCTTTTCAGCAGGAGGAACTGGAAAGCTTGTTGCTATCAAGGGCAACATGGATGAAGCCAAATACAGGCAAATCCTTAAGCAGAACCTGTTTCAGTCAGCCAGAGATCTGCATTTAGGGCAAAGATTCATTTTCTAGCACAAGAATGACGCAAAGCACATGGCAAAAACTATCAAGGAATGGCCCAGAAAATCTACGGTATGACCTGAAAACTGTTGTCCATCGACACTCTCCAGCTTATTTGTAGGAGTTGGAGCAAATTTGCATTGAAGAATGGGCAAAAAGTCTACAATCTAAATGTGCAAAGCTATTGTAGTTAAAGGACTATGTACAAAGTATTGACTTGGGGAGGGGGGGTGTCAATACTGTTTTGAATGAGACATGTAAGTCTTTCATTCTGAAGGAACAAATGTTCTTGAATAAAAAATATTCTGTGATTCATAAATGTGTTGAATTTATTGTGTTATTGGGAGAAATTATTTCATACTGTATATTATTTCAATGTGTTAAAATTTGGGGGTGTAACAGGAACAAAATGTGAAAAAATTCCACTTTCTGAAGGCACTGTATTTCTAATGAGTAGGCTCTTTTGTCAGGTATTAAAATACAACCACCCTGACAGAAAACCCATGAAAGTCATCGTGTATAAAGGGGAATAACATGACTGAAAAAGGCAGTCAAAGCCTTTATATGGAATGCAGACTGGTTCCAGTACTAAAGCCAGTGGATCCATTTCAAACAGTGCTGTATATTGTAGCGGAGCTAGTTTGAGCAAGGTGACTTCATCACCCTCCCTACATGTACAGTAGCAGGGAAATCAGCTGCCTGGGCTGGGGGAGGTCTCCTTTAGCTCATATGGCTGGTTCCCTGTTGCGTTACACCGGAGACCTGGGTTCGTGCCCAGGTGTTGGGGGACGAACCGGCGGTGTGGAGCGGCGAGGGCACAATATCTACTGTAGCCTAGTGGTGTATCTACTGTGCTCCCCAGGTCATATGGAGTCACGAGTGGAAAACCTGGCCTTATTGTAGTCTATATGCTGTAGTTGTGTCCATTCTCTCATTGGTATTGCATAGTCCTCAAATGGGAATTCAGTCCTCACACTGTGAAAAGTCTATACAGATAGTCCTCGACTTACAACGTATGTGACTTATGACCACTTGCACTAATGACGGCCGTCCCCTTAATTATATTACTGTACAGTACTGCATATTATTTTCATGTCCTGGCATTTGGTTGTAACGTCTAACATTGATGACATCAGCCTACGCGACACCGTGCTGCTGCATGTTATTATTTGGGTGGTAAGCAAGTAAATGGCTAGCCAGCAAAAAATGAGTGTTCTGGTGGTGCCGATAGGAAAAAAACTAACGCGAAAGACAATAGATTTAGAATTGAAAGTGAACATAATAGTGCAGCATTAAAAAAGGAAAATTAGTATCGACAATCGCACGAGACTTTGGCCTTTCTCATTCAAACAATATCCACAATATGAAAGGGCAAGGAAAGAATTTGTAAAGCAGTGAAAGCATCAGCGCCTATGAAAGCTGCAGTAATAACGAAAAAAAGACAAGGCCCTATTCATGAAATGGAGAAATTATTAGTGACTTGGATGGAAGATCAGATCCTAAAGCGTATGCCTTTAATCCTTCTAGCAATACAGGCTAAAGTAAAATTAGTGAAAAAATATAACAAATCCGTATTACACAATGTAGCATTTATGCATGTTAATTCTTTACACATCCGTATGGTTCGTGTAGTATCGCAATACATGCGATCGCAAATTTCGACTCACCACGACATCAGTTTACGGCAGGGTTAGGTTCCGACGAGGTTAGGACTACCTGTACAGAAAACCAGGCAGTGTGTTAGTCTTGACTACTATGGAGTCAATTGGAAAAGTGTCTGGCAGCTCTCAAGAAACCTGACTGAAAACAAAAGGATAATCATGCCTTTCATGCGGGGCACTTCTTGGATGTGAGATCACGTACTCAATAGCGCCACTATAATCTGTTCCAATACTTTCATAAGTTGCAGGCCCGAGCATGCTAAAGTATGAATTTGGATATATTCTGTACTTGAAGTGTGCCCAGCTTTTATACCTTTTCATGCAAAGCTATGGGCGTACTGTATCAAAGATGCTGCTAGGATTGAACATACTGCTTTATTAGCGATGGTGATGTTGGGCAGTACTGCAGAAAATCAAAGCTGAAGCTATCATGTGAGGTGGTGGAGAAAGCCTGAATGAAGATATGGATAGCAATCCACTGATCAGCTGGACTCCCTGTCAGTGACTGGTCAGCATGGCTTTAAAAAGGAATTGTGCATTTTGGGAAAACTTTGAACATGGCCAAAAAGCCTCAGCTTTTGAATAGATTTGTATTCAATGCAAAAGAGATCAATTACATTTGCTTTCAGTTAATGACTTTAGAATTAAGTAAACGATTGTGTGTGCTTGAGTCTTTAATGACCATATCTTCTAAACTGTTAGAGGCAGAATTGACTAAATCCTACAGTACCTGCCTCTGTATTACTCATGGCAGAGATAATGGAAATGTCTTAGTAGATTTGACAAGGGTTGTCCCTTACATACATGTACATGTACACAGATAAACATGCCAAATGAAATTTTAGATTAATTTTATAGTAAGGGGTACATATCAATGATAATTAAATAATTAAATGAAATGTGGAAGCTATAAAACACTCAATGATTGTAGAAACAATAAGAATGCAGGTCTTATACTGAAAAATTGCCCGTTTTACAGAGCACAAAAGTTTTAACACACCGATTTTTATCATTTTGACAAAAACCAAACCAAACCACATATTTATGCAACACCAGTTCTTTATTAATTTTGTTTGATGAAAAAGTTTTACACCTTCAGATATGTTTCTCCTCTCAACAGCAAGTAACACTACAAGATCTCATCTCATCCAGGTTGGAAGTCACTTCACTCTTTTTTATCATTTCTTTGTTGTGTATAAACTAATAAACTAAGCACATATTCTACTGACTTCTTCATGAAATACAAACAAAACAGCTTGCAAGAATGGAGTTCAAGCTAAATAGTGTCAGCTGCTATTAAAAAATAACAAAGAATACCATTATACTTTCCCTTTTACAGAGCACTGCAAGTAAATTATATGCTAAAAATAAATTTTCCTGCCACTTTCTGTGCTAAGAATCAAAATACCAATCTATTGGTGTCTGCACAGACTTTAAAATGCCAAAGTTGTGCTGAATGTGATTGATTTGGGCATCATTTTATGACATGTACACTATCATATTTGGTTAATTCCTTAGTGTCTGGTTTTTATTCTGACAACTAAAGGTATTTCCCTGTGTAATCTGATTTTTAAAGTTCAGTTAAACCACAGAAATTGATATTATCCTGAGAATTGATCACACAGATTTAAAAAAGAATATACATTATCAAGAGTATTTCCAACACAGTACCAAAAGATACTTCATTTCAAACAGAAAAAAAAATGCTAGCTCATAGCTTAACAACATGACTGGAGTCTCCATCTGCATACTGACTGTGACTCTAGACATGTCTACTGTTCCTGCATCACTGCATTCTCACACTCTTCAATGACCTGTTCTTGAGAGGTGTGGTCTGAGTATACCACCATTCCTGCCAGCTGCTCGCTCACCATTGCAGAAGGCACCACATTGGCATCCACCCCTTCAGTGCCCACCGTGGCACATTCTTCGCCATGGTACACAGCTGATTGCGAAGGGCTTTTGTCTGGTGTGTCTTGGGAATACACTGTCCCCTCCACCTGCAGAGTGGAATCATCTAATTCTGTGACAATGTAATGTGTGTTTTCTCCTGAAAAATTCTGGCTGGAGTTTTGGACCATTGCATGCGCTATGCCCTCTGTGACAATGATCTGGGAGATCTCTCCATCTGAGCTGACTAGGTCCATGTGCTGACTGGGCATGCTGATCACATGACCGTCTTCTTGCATGATGATCTGAGATCCTTCCCTGGCCACCATGTGAACAGCTCCCTCGTTGTTGACGATGACCTGCGTCAAGCCCTCCTTCATCAGCTGGCCGGCAGTAGCCATGTCGCACACCGCAAACTGCAGGACCTCTTGCACAACCTCTTTAAATGATGACCCCTGAGGAGTGGGCACTGAAGACGACTGCACAACCTGGGTGACGACCTCCATGGGCTGTGCTCCCTCCTGCACCTCGTGGAAAACCTGCATCTCCTCTGTGGAAGGCTCTTCGGACATCTCAGTAGTTACAATCTCGCTCTCGCAGGGCTCCCCATGAGATTCGTCTTCTACTGCCTTGGCCAGGCCCTGCTGCTGTTGCTGCTCTTTCACGGTCCCCAGCTCCGTGACAGCACACAGCAAAGCATCCAGAGCAGAGGAGGTCTCTGTGGTGTGGACTGTTGCCTCCTGTCCTGCCATTAGCTCCTCACAGGAAGCCTCTTCCATTGGAGACTCTACCACCACCACTTGGGTTGTTCCTTCTGGTATCTCTATTTGCCCAGGAATCATGCTGCTCATATGAGTGCTGCTACCGCTTGTGGCAATGACCTGGCCATCTTCTGTGATGTGGACCACCTCAGTGACCTGTCCTCCCATGGCCAGGGTCTGGAGTGTGGCTGCAGCAGATTCTTCCATGGAGGCATCGATGGCGTACTCCCCCCCATAGCCCTCTGGGAAACCTTGGATGATGATGACCTGCTGGACAGCTTCAGTCTGGGCTGCCAGCGGCTTTCTGGAGCTTCTCACCACCCTCTCCTTCGCATGAGAAGAGTCGTCTGAGGCCCCCGCAGTGAACGCAGAGTCTGTCTCCACAAAGGAAGCTCCCTGGCCTTTCAGACGGCATTCAAAGGACTTGGAAACAATTCCTAAAAGAGAAAAGAAAAAATGAACAGGAAATGAGTATATATTATATTTTGTACATTATATATAGAGAACACAGCAAGTGTATGAGTGTTACTAAAAACAGAACAGTCTAAAATATCAATGGCAGCACTCAGAGAAAGGGTCGTTACTGCACCACAAAATGCTTCCCAAGAGACAAAAACTGACCAAGTACAAACGTTTCTACAGGAAGACATCAAAATCAAGAATCTTTTATCAGAAAGATGGACAAGAATAGGTCAAGACTGAAGTCAGAGGAAGAGTGCTGCAGAAGAAGTTGATTATTGAAGGTTGATGATACTTATATCTGTGTAACATATTTTAATGCATACTGTTATATACTATAAGAAACCTTAAACATGATATATTGTACATGTATGCATGTTTGAGTTTAGTCTACTGTATATTATCATAAAAACTCAAAACTGCTAAAGAAACCTACATATTATAGTAGCAGTCACATTTTACTTGCACTGTGACCATTTTGCCTTGACCAGTCAAAACTAAACCTACAGGACCAATCCAAAGAAAAGCATGGAGAGCAATTCTGTCCTGCAGCCCAACCTCTGTCTCAAGTCTTTGCTGTCAGATGTGGGCTGCAGTGCTACCCATCTGCTTTTCCTCCACTTTGGGAATAATGAAAGAGAAACAGTTTGAATTTACATTGATCTCCAGTATTTCTCACGTGTATTTTTGGATAGGGTTCCAAGTTAGTGTGCTGTGCTGGGAGAAGTGTTGTCCCCTTGGATATGGTTATATTCAGGGAATCTCATTATGCCACCTAACCTGGCTGGAATCCAGAGGCAGCTTAAGCCAGTTTTAAGGCTGGTGGAGTGCTCCGCCTTGATATACAGTGCTGGTATTGAGAAGTGGACGAGCACCTTAACCTAATCCCGGGCTGGTACCGTCACGGTCACACGCCACAAGAACAGGACTGTAGATAACAGCTTCTTTCCCCCCTTCTGTCCTGTTCTTCCTTGCCTTCTTTTTTGATTCAGAAATTTAATAACTTCAAGTGCTGTCAGAGGGGCTTTGAAAAATGGCTCCTATAAAACGTAACGGCCTCAATCAGGCTGTTGAGATTCACCCACTGATGATTCCTCCATTCCTGCCTTAATGAATTAATGTTGAAATATGTGGAAGTTCAGGAGTCATTAGAACTAATGTGAATTGGTGATTTACTAGAAATATTTTTTTCTCGTATTCACAGGGAGACTGCTGCTACTGACTGACATATTCAAATGTTTAACCCTATTAGTGGTGGGGCTAGCCACTGCCTGTTGCATCAACATTCAGTGTCAATAAATCCTATCCGATTTAAATGCCACTTGCCATTTTATTGTGTAGGCATGTGTAGATTTATAATCACTATAATATATTTAAAAGTGTGTAGATCTCTAAAAGTATCCCAATCATCTAAGACATATTTCTTACAGGATTTGATTAATGACTGTTAAAAACACCCAGTTATTCAACAGTAACATACAATCTGCATGTAACAAATTAAAAAAGTAATTGTGGCATTTTTGACACATACAGTGAGTATAGGAAGTCACCATCCCTTTGAAAATGTTCACCTTTTGTTGTACATTTTCACCTGACCAGCCTCCTTCTTGCTCGGTCATCAAGCTCGGAGGGACGGCGTGATCTAGGCAATTCTTAATTATGGTCTTGACTGTGCTACATGGGATACTTAAAGCGTTTAAAATCTTTTTATACCCATCTCCTTACTTGTGCCTTTCTACAACTTTATCTCGATGTTCTTTGGAAAGCAACTTTCCGCCCATAGTGGATTGTTTGCTTTGAAATGCACTTCCAAGCAGTGGAATCCCCTAGAAACAGCTGCTTTTCTGAACTAATCAAAATCACCACAATTGATCACAGGTGGGAGCCAGTTAGTTTGTTTTGTGATCTGTAAGGTGATTTGTTATACCTGAGCAAGTTTACAAATGCAATTGTAAGGGGGTAATTCATATATCCAAATAAGGTATTTTACTGTTGTAATATTAATTAATTTTCAGAATGTTTTTGAATATTATTTTCACTTTACTAATATGGGTTACTGTGTGTAAATAAAAATGGAACAAGCCTAATTTAATTTGTTTTTATTTTCAGAGTGTCATACTATACAGTAACTGAAGTGTCATATCTACTTTTATATATCTGCTAGTTTGTACCTGGAAGTTTGTGCATCAGTTAGAGTTTTTGATTCATTGAAACTTCTTTTTCCATTTTTAAAATGAGTGACAAATAATTTTTGCATAGGTTTTAAACAAGAACAACAGTATAATAACAACAACAAACGTTTTCACTTTCTAACACAACTTAAAAGCTAAAGAAACTGGACTTAGGGCCTTTTTCAGCCAAAAATATTTACTCAGATGTAGTGTGTGAGTTTTTTAATTAACTGATTTCATGATGGATTCCTATATTTCGATTTAATGTACAATAAACTAACACACTGAACCGACCCTCTCTGAAAGACAGGAACTATTACTTTGTGAAACACATTTTATTGGCAGACCAGCAGAACCAACAGACCAGCAAAACTTTAAGAGACCAAAGGATTTTGCAATAAATTTTCCTAACAATAGGGAATTTTCTGTGAAAGTGAACACAGACATAATTGCACACAGGGAACACAATTAAACTGGGAAACGAGAATGAAGGTAAAGTAAGAATAGCACAAATTATGACAGATAATAGTAAATTAACACTTCAATTTTTGTCAAAAAAGTAATTATTTCTTTAGCAGCACTCCAAATGAAGTGGGGGAGGATTTAAAAAAAGTCACAGACCTCAGATAGTGCTAATTGATGCCTGCAATGCATACCTTCGGATCCAATGTTTCACAGGTGTCGGAAAGATGTAAATGACACCAAAAATGGCAAAAAAATCTGATAACACTTTCAAGTTCTGATTCTTCACATCAAACTCTTAGAGTGTGGCTCTGAATGAAGTTTACACAAAAAAGCAAGTGTCAATGGGTCTCACTGACTGGCTGAGAACTGAGGATACCACCTAAATTAATACATGCTCTGGGACCTACTCACACCCAGGTCTTAAAATCAAGGGTATTGCACAGACATTAAAAATACTGGTTTAAAAAGTCCAGAAAAGGTTATGGTACTGGCCTGGTACTGTTGTGTAAACCTTCTGTATGATCAAGTTCCCCACTTACCTCTCCCATACAATGGATACAACAGGCTGATGTTGTACAAGGTGCAACCAAAAAGTAACGTACTGTATAAATTCCTATTTATATGCTTAGCAGCATAAATGCATTGTCAAAATCATCAATTGGCTTGCTTTAATGAACTTCTTAACATGTTTGCTCTGCTGAAGACAACAAGGGTGTTCTTTTTTGCAACTTAAAAAAGGGGACAATTTAAGAAAAATGCATTCTGCCAGATAAAGAGGGATTATGTGTAAAAAAACCTTGCTCATTAAGAAGCAATCATACATACTGTAAGCATTTCAACATTTTACATACTGTAACTAAGAACTGAATGACACTTTGACAGAAATATAGTGCTACTCTGTAATTCTGATTCATCAGCATCACCACAATAACAGTAATCTAATGCAGAGGGAGAGATGCAATAGTATTAATCCAGTTCTGATCAGACTACTGGATAGATTTTATATCACCTGAGTTTCTTTAATTTCTATTTGCTTTGCCTCCCCTATAAAACAATGACAGGCACAGGCTTCTACAGCCCACCCTCTTAAACACATCTTTGCAGAAAACCGGTAATTCACCAGCTTTAAAAATTTACTATAAACCAGCAAAGAGAGAACTTTCCCCCATAATGACATCCATAAACCAGCCAAACGGCACTTTTACTATCGCCCTGAATACAGGGTTTTCTGGGCTCTCCACAGTCTAAAAGGTTTGATCACAGCGCATAATACTCTATCGGGTTTATAGAACAATCAATGTTCCATAAAATGATGCATTTATCCAATACTCGGCTTTCCGATTACTCGTGTATGAAGCTGTAGGATGAGGGCCCCAAGCTACTTTGCAGTACTTGCAGTGTGGAACTTATCTAAGACTACTTCAACAACTTCATCTTCCTAGTGTCAAGCAATTTGTTTTAAAGCCCAGCGCTGACTCAGAAAAAAAAAAAGAAAAAAATCCTGTAATAAAAATTCATGGAATCTGTTGGAGAATGAAAACTGATGGCGCTAGAAAGGTCACACTGCATCTGTGCTAAGGAGGTCAGGGGTCGCTTACAGTTCTAAAGCAGACAGTATATTTTCATGCATCATGTAGCAGATAAAGATTTTCTGAAGAGGCTTGTCTGCAGAAGAGGCATTAAATGTGTTTAGAATTGTCCTATGTGTTAATCTCCAGCTTCGTGTCATCTCTATTTGGTAGTTTGTGTGTGATCTGCTTGATGCATAGAGCTGCCGATTAAAAGTGTGAACAATTCCACCATGCTCTCAGACGCATGCAAACATGATTTTGACTCCCTTTTTAAAATATGTAATGGGATAGGATGTTAATAGAAATGTCAGGATTGTTTTTTAAGAGTCCTAAGTAAGCGTAAAGTGATTAGTCTTTCACAAATTCCTGAAATCGCTGACAGAAGCCAACACATCCTTGAGATCTTTGTTTCCAAGAATTCAGCTCCCAGCGTAAATTTATCACAGAGGAACAAGCACAAAGAGATGTAAAAACATCTGTGCAGATTTTGAGGTCCTTCAAGTAAATCAATTAATACAATTCAACTACTTTCCTATTTGGTTTTTATCAGAATATAAAAGAATCACATGGTGTCTTTCATATAATAGCATAGTTTTCAAAAGTTCATTAATGGTAAAACTAGTGCTCATCAACAAATCAATATGCAAAACTAACTTTGACATTTTCTCAATAATAATAAAGATATTCCATAATTAAATAATCATACTAATGGAATTATGATTAATGAAATGAATGGTGTTGTATGAAGTAGCGTTTACATAGTATCAGAAA